ACAGTTGGATTATTATGGTGAACTTCCATTTTGGTGCATGAAATTAAGGGGACTCTACATTTGAGCTTTCTTATAACCTGTGCCAAAAATATTTTTATCAACATTGGTTTGAGATTGGACAAGAAACCTGAAAAAGTTCTGAAATTTTGATGAAAATGTCGGTTTAGTTATTTACAGAAAAAAGAAGTGATTACAATTTAAACCGGATCTGAATTTATCAGTATCGTTTAAAGGTTTCACTTTTTCTATTGTTTTCCCTTACAGTGATTGCCTTTTTTCTCTTGTGCATGTTGGGGGGGTCTTGTCACAGTCTCTAATTTCATGCCTTAAATTGTCTATTTTTAAGCTCCATAAATTGAAGTACAAGATATCAAGAGAAAGTATCATTTGTATTGTAGACCATTAGTGGCTATTAGGGTTCTTGTCAGTGTACTTTATACTCAAATGTTTTAAATCATGCTACCAAAAGCTCTCTGTTTTAAACTTGAAATATGACAAAGATGATCTGATTGTTTCTTCCGATATTTAATAGTCATTTGCTATTGTTTGACATTTATTCTGATGGATAAACTTTAATTTACTTTTTTCATATGTATTTCAATCTTTTGGCTGTACTACTCAAGAGCAAAAAAAAAAAAAAAAAAAAAAAAAAAAAATTCAAATCACCTCACAGTTGTATGAAAAGATAACACATAGGTAATGAAATGTTTCCTGTTATAATGGCCCATTCAAAATACATTATCTGCCAAAAAAGTGACAGGTAAACAAGACAGAAATTATGATTTATTTATTGTTCCATATGTGGACCATGTACCAATGTAGCTGTTTTTATATTATCTTCCTCAACAGGAAAAGTTTATATTTTAATTTTTTTTTCATGGGCTAAGACTCCCAAATCTGATAATGACATTACCCAAGCCATAACACTTGACTCATAGATAGGAATTAGTCTACCTGATAGAAAAAGATTCTTAAAGTCTATGTGATCATATTTTTTCAATGTGACATTTTGTTTTTAAGGTTATAAGCAAATATATTATTAAAGTTAAACAATATCACTGACGTGTATGTGTATTTTTTGTAATTTTTAATATCATTTTTGTGAATTGTACAGAAATCTTGTAACAGCCAGAGAGTGCAAACCTTAACCAAGGAAAATGAAAATAATTATATTATATTCATAGATCAGGAGTGTCAGTTGAAATTGTAATCATGTGCTTCTTTCTCCCTGAATAGCTATCTATCTACACTATGATTGGTGAACCATCATAATTGGTCAACCTTACGAGACCGATATCTTGTCCACTAAACAACCAAAACCACAAACTATTATAGGAACAAAGACCTTTGCCAATGCAAAATGTTTATGATGATAAAAAAGACATTTGAAACTATATGCACTTCTTTACCCCCCTGAATATAACTCTCCAACCTAAAAATTCCATCAAAATTTGGTAATAACAAATTAATATACTAAAATTATGGTGAGGACTTGGATCTTTTCAATTTGGAAAATTTACCATTTTGTCAGAAACATGATTTTGGGATCATAAAAATATATTTCTGTGTAACATCTGTGGTGCTTTTACTATAAAGATTGGGTTTATAAAAATTTCATTTTTGTTGCTACTAATCAATGGGTATGTTCTAATGTTAAAAATCTAATGAAAATACAGTATCTGTAAAATTCACTTTTTGTAAAAAATGTATTAATTGATTAATTTATTTTTTGCCCATTGTAACAATTGAATCATTACCTTAATATTTGCCATCAGTTTGGAGCACGGTTGTGCAAGTGCAAGATGCCTTATGTAAGAGTTCATGTGCTCTCGTTTGTGAAAAAAGTAAATATTGATTGTCTGGAACCGCGCAAAATTTAGCTATGCATCAAATTTAGAAACAGGCTCAAAATACGAATACTGTTGAATACTTTTATGTTGGATAACTCCTTACTACTACTTTCCAGATTCCTGGTCAAAATATATACTAGTAGGTGTAAACTGCTAGGAGGAAATCCATGACAACAATAACCAGTTTCAATCATTTAATGTTCACTCATCGCTTGCTCAGGTACATTCTAACGATATGTGGAGAATCACATTCTTTGGTATCAAACCAAGACAGTGGCTTCATGAACTTCTTAAACAATGACTTCTTAATTAGAATTATAGTCAACAAGCTTACTCTGCCTCTATAGACTCTACTGTACATGACGTTTTATACGAAATTATGGACTTCAATAATAAATTATTACGTGAAGTTACCGAAATTGCCTGTGAATTATTAAATGTTTCAGTTATGATATACTTACATAAATAATATTGGCAACTGATTATCCTGCAGTGTTAACACTCTGGTCAGACACCAAACTCTAGTAAAATTTACGTCTGGGTCCAGTAATATTTGGAAAATTTCTTCACATACTGGTCACTATTTCTGCTTTGGGTCACTAATTTTACACTGGTGTCCCACGGTTGACTTCAACATTTTTAGCATATACTGTGAAGGGTAAACGAGGGGTGGTGCTATGGCCAGATATCCATTGGGCTGTTACATGTAGAATTCTTTGTTTTGGGCTCGCATAGGCGTAAAGAGTAATTGATTTAAGAGGAAATGTCCATCTTTTCTAAAAAAATTTTTTTTCACTGATTAGTAAGAACCATTTATCATCAGTGTTGTGTTTTTATTTAGAAAAAAAGGGCCTGGGGCGATCAGTCTGTCATGCTTAGGTAAAAGTTCATGTCGGTTATCTAACTCAATAGACTCTGTTATTGCATAACTGTTTCTTTTACAATAGCAGCATTGTTGTCAGTATTTTCATACCATTTGTAAATGATACAAAGTCAGTGATGTGTTTTAGCAGAGTTACTATGTATTTCAGCAAAGTTTTACGTAACTGAACTTTTCTGCATTTGATATGTGCACTTTTATTTGTTATTTTTATCAAAACGTAACCCGTGAATGACCACTGACTTTTATATTTAGATAAATAAATAAACAAATAAATAAATAAATAAACAAAAATTGCATGACATGTAAGAATTTTAGTATGTTTTCAATGCTCTAAGTGTTCTCTTTCAAAAAATAAATTATTTGCATGCAGACAGATCTATCAGAAATATGATCATACATTTGTAAACTTAGCCTTTGTCATGTGTATATATTTTCTCATGTTGGGAGAACCTGTTGGCAAGAACCTGTTAGCTTTTCATCCGGGAGAACTGCTTATGTAAGTGGCTATGTCATGTTTTAATGTCGTGTCCCCAAGACCAAGTTACACAAAGAAGATTGGCAATTCGTAAAATAACACAGGTGAGATACAAGAAAGCCTGTAGGTCTGAACTTCAAAAGGCGAAATAGTTAAATTTGATAATTGTTAAGCTCATCTTCATGACAAACAAAGGTTTGCATGTCCGAAAACCCCTTGAAAAAAGTTGCTAATTTAATAAAGTGTGTGTAAAAAAGCACTTGGATGTTATAACAGTGGATCTTAGTTGTATTTTAGTTTTCCATTTTTGATAATTATAATGTGTTTCGTACTATACTTGCATTTTTACTTATTGTCTTAATGAAGATAAACCTTGTATACCTTGCCAAGGATAGAAAGAGTCTTTGTCAGCCAATATTTTGTGGAAGACGAGAGGAAAAAAAACTTACTTAAAGATATGTTTAAGTAGCTGTTACAGCTGTCAAGCAACTTAGGTTCAGTAATGCAATAGATATGACCCCAGATTGTGCTCCAGAATTTTTAAATAGAATATTACCCAGGTTTAAAATTCACACTGTTATTTGAACCATCTGAGGCACTGTTTTGTTTTTCTTATGCTTTAAAACAACCGCCTTAATATTTATTTCATATATCTACTATATCTGCTACTCTGCTAAACGGGCGTTTTATTGACCCCACCTTCAATAATTGCCAACCTCGCTCAAGTATACATCTCAGTATTTTAACAATTTTTTCGCGCCTCTCGGTCGTTAAGGTGTTCCTGCTCTAGCAACACAGGGTGACTCCCGCTTTCGCCACCAACACCAATCAATTATTGAACCGAGCAAATAATTTTGTCCTCTTCTTTCATATAGCAACTATAAAACGACCACCTTAATCTTTGCAAATGACAGCTATTGACAGGTTACTATTTATGCTCAAAAGAGAATGCACGCTCCAATATTGAAAAAGATGTCTTAAACTGATTGTTTGATAAACTAATTGATTAACTAATAAATTGGAAAAATGCATTCAAAAGTGAAGATTTGACTTTTTTATCACAGCTTTGATTTTAGTTATGATAATTTCCACTTTCTCCTTTGCCAAGTTTTGTTTAAATATTCATAATTTATTATTTCAACTGACATTAAAATTGATTGCAATTTATTTTGATAAACATATAGTTTTTTTTTAATACCTTTTTTACATCTTTTTAAATATTGTGCATATAAGAAGTAGCCTCTCTTACTTTATACCCAGGCTTTCAGTTAGTGAGTTTGCTGCATGTCCCCCTTCGCTGTAGTGTCCATTCCATTCTATTGAAAACCGACTCTGAAGCCTAGTAGTTGGTCAGCTGGCCACCCTTATTCATGAGCTTCATGCATATTCATAAGCTGGTCAAACATTTACATAAGTGCTTGGGCATTTAAAGATACGTAGGGCCAAGTTATAAATCATTAGGTCCAGCAGCTCCCAAGTAAGAAACTTGGGTATTTTTGCAGTTGAGATATCTAAGAAAAGTTCATATGTTAGCCGTGATCCTGAACTTAAATACAGTCATTAAATATATGCTGTTGGAAATTTAATTTTTATTTTCCAGAATTTTGCTTTGATTTTCAGGTTTCAGATGTGAATTATTTTAGGAAAATATTTGTTTATGACATTCTTTTTGTTTGTTTGTTTCTGGTACAAATGTTGTTTTTTGCCTTTTTCAAAGACGTCTGCCAGATATTTAGTATAAGAATGCTGAATTATAGAATATTCTGTAATATTATTGATTTTTTTTTTTCAGAAGACTACAACTGTAGGAAAATGCAAGCATTGGATCATCTTTGCTAAAAGGGGAAACCAAACGGGCTTTTTTTTTTTGAAGCATGATGGAAACTGATTCCAAGTTGGAGACAAATTTGATGAACAAAATTACTGATGGAGATTCAAACAGTTGTGGGTCTTCCATAAGTAGGGATGACATTTCATCCAAAAAGGTTTCCCAAGATGACAGCGACATTGCAGAATATGATGATGACACGATCTCATCAGCTCTGGCAGAAGACAGACCACCATCAGATGAAGAGCTAGTAGATTTGGCAAATAACGATGAAGAAGAAGAAGATGATGATGATGAAATTGAAGAAGAAGAAGAAGAAGAAATTGACAGCGATGATGTTGATGATGAAGACGATGATGAAGACGATGAAAATGAGGAAGAAGCAGAAATACTGAATATCAGCGATGCCGATGATGAGGATGAAAATACAAATGATATTGTTGATAGTGCAGCCACTGTTGAGAAAGATTGTAAGGAAAAATTGGACAGGAAAGAAGACTCTGAAAGTCCAAGTACCTCAAAGAGGGCAACTTTGAAAAGGCCTCGAAGTAAAGGTACAGTTGTAGAGGCATCAGATGAGCCACCATCAAAAAAGAAGAGCAGGGCAACAAAAGGGAAGAAAAAAGATGGAAAGAAGGGAGAAAAGAAAAAAAGAAAAAGCAAGAAAAATTATGAGAGGAGAAATATCAGGTAAAAAATGTTTGATTGATTTTTGTTCTTGCTGTTTGTTTTTTATTACTTTTAAGCATACAAAGTTAAAAACTGGTTAGTATTTTTTATTATTAACGTTTTTCTTATTTTATAAGTGGCCAGGTGGAAAAAATTAAGTGTCAGAAAAGTTTACTTTTAACTGTTCTATAAAGGTGAAAAATAAGTATATAAACTTTTGTGTGAAATACTGTAGGAAAACAGGGAAATTACCAAAAAGGTAATCAAAAGTAGGAAAAAAGTATAACATTAATTTCCCAAATTAAGATAAACATAAAAACAAAATGAGATTGAAGAAAATAATTTATTTTATTAGTACTATTTATTAAGTTTATGTATGAAAAAATAAATAACATTAACATTTGATAAATATGGACAATAAGTGAAATAGTAAAATTTATAAATAGATAAATAGAAAAAATGAATAAATAGTTTTGTCATTTGAAAAGAAGTTCAAAGTCATTATTCAGAATTATATACCTACAGGCCAAGATTACTTAACAATTTATAACAGTACATTTTAACCCTTAAGAAAAGCCTCTCTCAGCTTAGTACAAAAGTTAACTGCCAGTCTCTTCATTAAGTCGGTGTTTTGAGAAGAAATTGCTGATACTAACCTCGTGTCATTGTAAGAATGTATGTGGAAAATACTGTTCCCTCAAGTTATCGTGCTTATGACAAGTTATTGAAACATGCTTCTCATTTTCTGAACAATGTTCCTACTAGAAGAGCGACCTTTTTTAATTTGTAGCCAAGTTATGGAATGAGATTTTTAATTCATACTTTAATAATAATAATAATAATAATAATAATAATAATTTATTTTTAGTCTAAAATCTGCATTTGTGCAGTAAACTTTCCAATGTGAATAAATAATAAAGAATTGTAGGAAAAGTAAAGAAAAAATCATTCCTTGAATATGTCAGGTAAATTATTTTTGAAAGGTAATAGTAATTTTTATTCACTTCATGAATATGTCAAGAAATTTATTTAAAACTAAAATTTGTTATTCTTTCCTTGATTTATGAACATGCCAAATCAGTAATTTCAAATATATTTTAAAAAAGATCATCTAACCGTTGTGCAATCTCCTAATTAAAAGATGCCAATGCACAAATAAACACACAAATAGCATTACCATATATTTTTTTTCAATTAGATTTTCAAATTGGTAATTGTGTTGTCAGAAAAAACTCAGCAAAATGAAATATCCCATCTCTTTCTATTCAATTTAATAACTGAAGTGTTCTGACTTTTCTCTTGTGCTGGGCACAGTTTTTGGATAGCCTTTGTCAGATTATATATCAGATTATAATGAGAGGCTCCGCTTCATTCACTTTGTCTGACAATCAATAAAGTATTCAATTCAATTTCTCTAGTAGTCAAAAATTAAAAGGAAGAAATATTTCCGGAATTCTTGTGTAACTGATTTCATTGTCATGTATAAAGATAAGGCTCGTAATGCCAGCATTATTGTAAAATTGCAAGGAGTGCGACAATAGCAGATAGGTCTGCTCATCTGACAAACCTTTTCACTCGATTTAGTTTGGTTTCAACAAAATGTTTTGTAGTCTCTAAGGGCTTGAAAAGTTCCTCCCCTATTGTAGAGTTTGCTCGCACCAGTTGTTTTCTTCTTTTGGACACCGGTGTAAGTGTCAGTACTTTGGTCCACTTTGGACTGACCTCTCTGTTACTGGTCAGTGTAAACGGTATTTGATGACCCATCTTTTTTGAGGATCTCTTCCCTTACAGGAATTAAAAATAATGTAGCCTGAATGTGACCTTCTTCACAGTTCAAAAAGAAGTTTTATTGTAACCAAATACGCCTCTGTAGCTGTGGCGGGATGGAAAATAAATTAAATAAATATCTCTGTAGTGTAGGCTTAACATTTATGGATGTCTGAACACTATAAACTAGCTGCTGTCTACCTTGTACACTTTTTATGCAGTGAAGACTTCACATCTGATTTCAATGCATATTGGTGCTCATATATTTATCTTGCATTTAGATTAAAGAAATCTTTCCCAGGTCGTTGAAGATATTTATTTTTATCAAAAGGAATTAATCAGTGAGTCATGCGGCAAAATATTAGAACTTTCATAAAACGATATTTCATTTGAAATTTTTGATATGTGAAATCGGTGCAGTCGAATGATGGTCTATAATGGCCATCCTATTAAGATTTGACCTTGCTTTTACCCTTTTTTTTATATTTTTGGTATTTGTTAAGGCCCCCCACAGATAAATGACCCGGCCATGACCTTGCAAGCAGTTCATGAAATTGGGGCCAGTACAAAAGTGCACATTCTTCGTTACATATTGGGAAGCATCTTGCTTTTGCCAAAAAATTATGGTTTGGGTCTGAAACTCATCTTTTATGTCCCCATATTTATTTTACGTGGGAAATTAAGAAATCAGTGCCATCTCCACAAAATTTGTTTTTATTTAACAAATATATATATCTGATTTATTTTTGGCAGTCAGGAACCAATACTAAACTTTCATTTGTTTACTGATATGTTGCTAGCTGATATGAATTCATAAATAGGACTGTATACAATATTTTGGTTGAAAGAAAATAAAACTAGAGACAAAACCTGAAGCACAGACCTTTACCAAAAATTTGAATTAATAGAAACAAAAAAAAAAAAAAGGATGAAGTACTGAAAAGTGAACAGAAATCAACAAAGATTATTTTAAAGACTGAATAACATTCAGATAACTAATTTCATTAAAAAATTGTGAAAGTTTTTTGAAACAACTTGTGCGCTAACAAACAGACACAAAGAAGAACATCTTTCAGTGACAGAGATTATTTACCAACTTGCTGAAATACTCAACCATTTTCTAGTCCTAACCAGCTTTCTTATGAATACCATTCAAAAATGTGCTATAAACTTTTTAAAGCACACTTCACTGATTTGCTACATATGACTTCACACTGTTTTCCTTCAATTTTGATCTTGTGTAAAATTTGAATTTTGAGCAGGGAAATCCACTGCCTAATTAAAAGAAAAAAACACTCTCAGGGAGATCCATGAAAAGATTTTTTTTATAATGTTACTAGAAGATAAACTCATCGGTAAAACATATCGACATAAATCCTATATCAGCCCAGCTACAGGGGGTGTGTGGTCTTGCTCTGTCCAGAAGTATTATGTCCATAGTTTGAGAGGTCAGTAGGCACCGGTATCTGGTCAAGCATACTCTTATGCTGGAGGTCACCTTACCTAAGATCGATAAAAATACAAAACTGTCACCTTAAGGCTATTTTAATCACGTGTCTGTACATGTGGCTTGCTGTAAAGGATGATTTTTTATTTTTTATTTATTTATTTATTTATTTTTTTTTTGTTAATTGCTAGTTTATTAATTGTTTGTTTGCCTGCGCGGAGCATTACTCAAAACAAATGGATGCATTTTGATGAAATTTTTGGGATAAGTCACAAATGACCCAAGAAAGAAATGATTAGATCTTGGTGATGATCCAACAATTTATAAATGAATAAATTAATATATTAGGGAATTAATTTATTGATGAAAGAATAGGTTAATTAATTAATTAATTAATTAATTATGTACAGATTTTGATGAAATTTACAGGATAGGTCATAAATGAATAAATAAATAAATAAGGGAATTAATTAATTGATGAATGAAAAGGTTAATTAATTAATTGTGTACAGATTTTGATGAAATTTACAGGATAGGTCACAAATAGGACAAGGAAGAAATGATTAGATTATGGTGATGATCCAATAATTTATAAATGAAAAAATAAAGAAATTAGGGAATTGATTTATTGATGAATGAATAGGTTAATTAATTAAATTATTTATTTGTTTGTTTGTTTGTTTGTTTGTTTGTTTGTTTGTTTATGAATGAATAAATAGGTTAATTAATTATGTTCAGATTTTGATGAAATATACAGGATAGGTCACAAATGAGCCAAAGAAGAAATGATTAGATTTTGGTGATGATCCAGTAACTTATAAATGAATAAATAAATAATTAGGGAATTAATATATTGATGAATGAATAGCTTAATTAATTAATTAATTAATTAATTATGTACAGATTTTGATGACATTTACAGGATGGGTCATAAATGGGCCAAGGAAGAAATTATTAGATTTTGGTGATGATCCATTAATTTATAAATGAGTAAATAAATAAATTATGGAATTAATTTATTAATGAATAAGTAAGGCTTGTGGAACAAACTAAACAAATGCCACAGAGTTCCATAATTAAAATAAAGTTATAGAGCTTTAGAGTCTTTCTGTTAAAAGTTCTTGTTTGTTTGAGAAAACATTAAAGAGTTGCAGTCATCTTTTTTTATGACTATTTCAGAAAAATTTTGAAAGAAAGCGAATTGGATGCCATGACACTCTCAGCTCAAAAGGAAGAATTTGAGAGAAAGCGGCGTCTTGCAGAACAACAGAGATTACTCTTACAACAACAACAACAACTTCAGCAGCAGCAGCAGTTACAACTTCAAAAACAGCAACAAGAACTCGACCTGTTGCAACCTGAATTGCAGCAGACCCAAAGGCCGATAAAACAAGAATTCCCTCCCAGGGAGCGGGTAGAGAAAGATTCACAGCTGAAATCTCTCTTACAATGTACGTATTGAACATTAGTCATGGTGCAGTGGCATTTCGGATTCTCAATTTATCACAGAGAGATAACCGCCCAAAGCAATTGCTAATTTTTGTTGCAATTTGCCCCATGGATGTCTAGAAAGATGTAATAAGCATCATTAAAAACATATTTATCGTAAGCCCAATAGTTCACCTTCACCCTTAATTATGATAATCCTCTGTACTAAATCACAGTATCCGAAGTCTTGCTATCAGAGTGAGCAATTCTAAATTATGAAAAGACAAAATGATCATGGTATTTGGCCCTTACCGTGTCTAACAATCAGATAAATTGCCACTTACAGCAAGTCTAAGTTAAAACTTGCGATAAAATGGCTTGGGATATCCGTCATAAGTCAGTTTTGAATTATAGGGCTTTTTATAGTGTCAATAATTTTAAGAAATATTATAGTGTTATATAGGGGAGTCACGGGAAAGATGATATTTTATGAAATGATTCAAGCAAAGGTTATCAGACATAAAAGGTTAAGTGTTGAAAAGTAAGAGAAACTTCATAGGATCTGTAAATATTATTTAACAAGTCACAAATTATATGTAACCTTGACAACTGTGTAAGCCATATATGGTAAACATGCTCTCTTTGTTTCCATGGCAGCTGCTGAGGATGAGGCATCCACATGGAGTTCAAAGAAGGATGAAGATGTTGTTCTCCTTGACAGTGGAGATGACAGTCAGAAGAAAAAAGGAAGAGGTGAGTGCTTTGTGATGGCTTGTGTTTTAGAGGAGACATCCGTGGCCAGCTTCTACATTTTCAAATTTACGTACGTGCCCTTTTATTGCATGTGAACAGTATTTTGAATAAATTGAGATTGCCATTACAAGCGTTTAAGGGATAACAACTTCATTTTGGAAAAAAAATGGATTTTCCTTGGGTAAACAACAATTTTGAAATACTTAACAATGGTTAATGAATCTGTTCCAACATTCAAAGTTACTCCGTTTTTTTTTTTTTTTTTTGTAGTAATCTCAAGAGATTATTACAGAGTGTAGCCATCTATGGAGGTCACGTGATCTGATGGCAGCAAGCACAATGTTTACAATGTATTTATTGTGAAATATGAATCTCAAACAAAGAATTGTTATCCCTTGAAACAGGTCAATTTACTGCTTCCCATGTTTCATGGAACCAGAATGACTGGATGTGTGTCAGTGCTTGTTGTGGTAAACTTCAGCCAAACTTACCACCGATTATTCTGAGTCCTATAAACAAGGACCTGTGTAGTTATATCAGTTAATAATTATATACACAGAAACAAGACAGAAATATTTTGTTTACAAAACTGCGTAGTTATAATTTCAATTGATTTTTTTTTTTTGCACTCAAGATGTCATCGAGCTCTCCAGCTCCGACAACGACGAGGAGTGTGTGCTGCTCCCTAGCGACTCTGAAGAGCAGGAGGAGGAGGAGGACCACGAAAACAGCGGTTGTCATATCAATGATGCCATGAATCAGCCTGATGCTCAGGGGAGAGTTTTGGTCAATGTGGGTCACCCTCCTGATGAGCCGGATATTTTTCTCGCCTCCCAGTTAACCAGGGCAATAAAACCTCATCAGGTCAGTGGAGTGGGTGATTGGTTGGTTGGTTTTGGTTGGTTGGTTTTGGTTGGTTGGTTGGTTGGTTGGTTGGTTGATTTTCCATGATGATCAGTCAATCAGTTTATTTTAAATCAAATGATTAATGAATGAATTGAACTATTAATTCATTGATCAGTTTATTCATTTCAATTATATTAGTATGTTGTACAGTGAGAAATACCTAACAAGTTTCATTGGCATAAGCACCAAGATGAAATCAGTGATATGAGATTAAACTTTCATATTATATTATTTTCTCTAAAGGGAAAAATATCAGTTCACTATCAGTTCTGAATTTAGTGAAAAACTTTTTCAAGTATACCCAGCTCCCTTTTGTTAATGTTTATCAAGAGGGATATTTAGATATATCGATAGAATATGTTTGGCAAATTGATTAGTTCCTTTGTATTATATATGTATATATTTTTTTTTAAGTGTGTATTTTTATTTGCTGTGAAACATTTGATGTTTATAATGCCATTTTTGACCACTTATTCCTGTGCTGCCATCTATCTTTCATTCAGATTGGAGGTGTACGATTCTTGTATGACAACTTAGTGGAGTCTGTTGGGCGTTTTCGCTCAAGTCATGGATTTGGTTGTATTCTGGCCCACAGTATGGGGCTGGGGAAAACTATACAGGTAAGAGAGATTTTATTTATTTTTCTTTTTATTTATACAGTTGTTTATTTATTACTTTGTGATTTATTTATAATTATTAGAATTAAGAGAAAAATTAGATTTCATTAGGTAATTCAATGCAATGACCCCATTAAATACTTTATATCTTTCACTGATGTTGGAAAAATTTTACTGTATTTGGTTTCAAGTTGCAGTCTTTGATCCCTGATCCCTGTTTCAATAATATTTTGAAATGTTTTCAGGTGATTTCATTCATCGATGTGTTCCTGCGGCACACCGATGCCAGGACGGTACTTTGTATAGTTCCCATCAACACCCTGCAGAACTGGATGTCCGAGTTCAACATGTGGCTGCCACCCCCTGGGGACATTAAGCCAGGGTCAGAGGTCGAGCCTCGGCAGTTTAACATCTACATTGTCAACGATGCTCATAAGAATACCACAGCTCGGGCAGAAGTTATAGGTGAAGTAGTTTTTAGTGTTCAGCAATACTGACTGCTCTGTTGTGTTGTCAATGTTTATCTGCACGTTTTCATTGCTATGATAGTGTAAGCACTACTATTACAATAATTCCTTCCTCAGCTGATAAGTAATGAATAATACAGAAGTAGTAAAACCATTTGACAAAGACACATTATGAAGGAAAACAATGATAAGAATAAAGATGAAAATCAGTTTTTATAAAGATAAAAATTTTGATATTTCAGAGAAGTGGTACAGAAACGGAGGAGTACTGCTGATGGGTTACGAGATGTACCGCTTGCTGTCGTCCAGGAAAACCCCATTGCCGAGAAAGAAGAAGAAGCAGAGCAATGAACCAGAGGTCATTGACCTGGAAGAGGAAGACAAGAACAAGGAACTACAGCTGGGTAAGGGATGGCTGGACTGTTGGACATAGGGGAATTTAGAAAGTGATGAATTTTTTGGGAAATTATTACGTAGATGGTATTGTAAGTGTGGATTGGAATCTTGAGATTGCAGATTTGAAGTGCTTAGAGTTTCTGAATCAATCTTGTCCAGTTTGTGCTATTTTCCATATGTTGTATGCAATCAGTTGTGGAAAGAATTTTTTTTTTTTTTTTTTTTTTTTGCTGTTGTGGATGTGTGGTAGGTTGGAGAAAGAGAGAGAGGCAAAAGTTCACTCTCATCAAATTTTTAAAAATAAATTAAAATTCTTTCTCTCTCATGCTCCAGATATCCAGTCAGCATTGCTGAGGCCAGGCCCTGATCTGGTGGTGTGTGACGAGGGACACAGGATAAAGAACAGTGGAGCGGGAATATCCCAAGCATTGAAGAACATCAGAACTAGGTGGGATTACAGTGAAGATTTAGATTATTACTGTTGATTAAAATTTTACATTTATCTGTATTAATTAACAGTTAAATATGATTTTATATGAGTGTTTCAGTAAAAAAACAGTAGATATTGGTCTAAAGCAGTACCCATATTTTTCTTGTGATAAGATAAGCACAAGATTTCTTTTCATTGGACTGTTGTGGTCCTTGTGGATTTGTCTTGAATTCAAGTAGACTAAACTTTTGTCTGGAAATCTCTTGTGAAACATGCCCCAGAGCCAACTCTCAGGGAAAGTTTCTCTAAGTAAGATAGCTGAATAAATGTATCCAAAATTTTTAATGGAATAAATGATGAAATTGCTTCAAACAACGGCTAAAATAAACAGATATTCTTAAAATTGTTCTTCTTTCACCTCATCAGGAGAAGGGTTGTGCTGACCGGGTACCCGCTCCAAAACAATCTAATGGAATACTGGTGCATGGTGGACTTTGTGCGGCCAAACTTCCTGGGGACAAAGACGGAGTTCAGTAATATGTTTGAACGTCCGATCATGAACGGTCAGTGCCAGGACAGCACTCCGCAGGACACGCGGCTCATGAGGTTCCGAGCTCATGTACTGCATAGTTTACTGGAGGGATTTGTACAGAGGTGGGTTGAATATTTATAAATATATAGTGTCCTGTCTAAGTTTGCTGCATTAAGGTTGGCCTCTGTTACTTTTTGGCTGATCCAAAGCAGATATAGTGGCCTGTAATTGAACTTATTTTCAGGCTATTTATTTATTTATTTATTTATTTATTTTTTTTTTTCATTTATTAAAAAAAAAAAATTTTTTTTAAATTTATTTATTTATTTATTTATTATTTTTTTTATTTTTATTTTTTTGAAGTGTTCTTCAGTTATACTGGAATTCGGGGTCACATTCATTTCCCAAGCAGTCTGTGCCAAATTTTTTTTTAAATTGCTTACTTGCCCTTTGGGGTACCAACAGGTCCAAGAATCGACTAGCCCAAAGCAAGAAAAGTGTCCAGTAACTGAATTGAAGTTAATAAAATTTGGTGCAGGTTCGTTTGGTGCAGGGTTGTTTGGTGCAGGGTCAGTAATAAGGTTCATGATGTATTATTCTGGTGTCCAACTTCTATATTATTCATGCATGCATGCTCTCTATTGTTCAGTCACGTACACACTGTATTGTTCAGGTGTGTTTGTATTGAAAGTGTACCTCATTGTGCCAGTTTTACAGTAACACTTCCTTGCACTTGCACCAACATTTACTGATCTGTGTCTGGCATCTTTCAGACGCAGCCACGCAGTTCTGAAGGCCGCCTTGCCACCCAAACAAGAGCATGTGTTGTTGATACGTATGAGCCCTATACAAAGGAAGCTGTACAAGGAGTTTATGACCAACGTGGTGGACTCTGGCCTTTCTGCCTGGGCCAATAGTAACCCCCTGAAGGCCTTTGCTGTCTGTTGTAAGGTATGCTTCACCGGCATACCTTGTCAATAAAGATTTTTTTTTTTTTGGTGTGTGTGTGTGTGTGTGTGTGTGTGTGTGTGTGTGTGTGTGTGTGTGTGTGTGTGTGTGTGTGTGTGTGTGTGTGTGTGTGTGTGTGTGTGTGTG